TATATATATATATATATATATATAGGATCTAGCAACAACTGATATGGATCAGGTCTTGATTTAGCTTTGAAATTCACTGCGCCCTCCATCCTAAGAGGCCTATCTCAGTCAGTTTAATCCATAAATTGGGCCTCATTTTGGTATCAACTGTCCCTCCAGAGGAATTCTAATTTTATAAAGGCTGGTCAAGAGACATTCACAATAATACCTAGGCTACACAAGTCCAGTTCCTATGAGATGCGCGAAAAAATAGTTACAGAGGCAAATCACAAGTTTCTTCTGATATAACCTTAAGAGACGCATGGAAAATATTAATTTCGTTGTGGCATGACTCTCTATTTCGAAGGGAAAATTGGTTGGAAAGAATTCGTGATGTCGTTGCACCGGAGACCAAAGGGGTATTGCCGTATAGGGAAGACTTGAATTTTGCGAAGAAGTCCTCGGTTCACCGTCTTGCGACCCTGTTAAAACTGTGCTGAGTTTTCGTCTGTTCCCACTTAGTTTTCTACATTTGACAAGACTTTAGCTTTTTTATTAATTTTTACAAACTCCCTAATATAACCCTTTGACGTGAAGTCCCAGTGACCCGCAAAATGTCGTATTTTGGACCAGTCTATTGAGTGTCCTGTATTGGCCGTGTCCAGCGAGCTAAGATTTTCAGGCCCACAGACCTACACAGGGTTTTTTCGCATAGTCTCTTATGAATGCGTCGGCAGATCTCCCCAACATAGACATCACCACATGAGCACAAAACCTCGTAGCAGCCTGATCTAAAAAGAGGATCTGAATATTCTCCAAACGAAGAAGCTACGGAAGCCACAATATTTCATTAAGGAATTCATCGAAACCCAGTTTTTCTTCATATTACTTTCATTGCCAAATCAACCTTATCTTATATTCATTGTAGTTGGAAGCTAAATCACCTTATATAACATCCTAAGAACCTAATGAACGTCCATAATTCTATAAGTTTGCCTTAATAGACATTTGAGCAGGTTTGAGTAGAGCCTTACAAGAAAATCTTGTTTATTCTTGCTCAAAGGAAGCGTCTTTAATCAATGATGCAGGCAGGCAGAAACAATATATATTTAAGAATAGGATGAATTTAGTGCTAACTATTGTCCTATCATATCAGGCATCGTTGACTTACTTTTACATTTGCACAGGTCCCGTTGGCGGGCGCAACTTATGAGAATACGCAGAATTAACCATTCATGCTATCATTAGTTGATCAAAGGAATGCCCAAGAAGGGTATGGATGTGTCACATTTAAGCTTGATAATAAAGGCGTAAACTAAGCACTTTCATCCGAAATGAAAGTCCCCCTAATAAGTTTAGAGCGATCTAAATAGTACTTACCTAATAATAATAATTATTATTATTATTATTTGTAGAACCATGAATAGTTGCTAAATTATATTATTCGATGATCAATCAGAGGTTGCCGCGACTTAGTGGCAGCCCTAGTCAGGAAGTGATATATGTTGATCTGGTGAACATAATTCATTCTGAAGATGTGAAGACCAAGATGTTGTGGCCTCGGGTATGGTCGCAGTCTCCTTTCGACTCGATGCGTTCTACATAGTCTCCCTGAACACAAGACCAAGTTGCGACAACGAGGTCAACCCACTTCTATAATTCATTCTGTCCTAAAGTTCCCATTCAGGCGTTTCTACAGGCATTTCCTATGATAATATAGGTCAGACAGACCAGAGAAAAGACTGGCCAAAATGAGGAGTTCTGTACTAATGTCAAGATTACTAGGCGAATGTGCATTTCAATCCATTGCTAAATTTTGAAAATTAAACAAGGTCTCCATAAAAAATATTGCACAATAATAAGAATGGCATAGTGCTTTAAGCAATCTATTATTTAAAAAATGGTTAGTTTCTGAAGCAAATAGTCTTAGCTTTAGCGACTAGCATCACAAAGATTTGATGCTCAAAGGTTTCTGCAAATTTTCCTTAGTCAGGTCCTAACAATAAATAATTTTAAAATGAGAAAAACTAACATTAACCTTTTCAGACTAATTCAAGATTTATCATTATCACGAGGCAAGAGCGTTGTGGAAGCTTACCATTCTCAAATGGAGGGTTATTTGAATGATAGAGGCTATACACGAGGAAATGAAGAGAAAGTTAAAGTTTTAAATTGAGTTATACTTGCCTGTATCTCAAACCTATTTCACGTTCAAAAATCTATGAAATAAGTAGTCCTTTCGACATGCTAAGCTTCGTGAGGTGGCTTTTGCTAGTAAGACTGAGAGTTATTAAGCTCAAGCTGAAGAGCAAGTCCGATAACCACACAGTAGCTCAAATGCGTGTCTATTCTCTTCCGTTAAGACTCAACCATTTTTAGAAACTATAAACACAACACTAATAATCGGATCATTGGGTGATCCAACTAAGTTGCAAAGCATTTCTATGATTAATTATTCATACTACAATATACTTTAGGACGAGTAAATCATGAATTGTCGTCGAGACCTTAGTCAGCCACATCACCGAGGAGAACTGTAAATGGCTCCGTGAATTCATTTAGAACAATTTGTTGCTATAAAAAAGATTCGAGTCATTTAATTTCTGCAACATATCTTATACAGAACCTAATCTATACTTACCTTTGCTTGCCCTTAAAATTAATTGATAATAGAGCTTCATTCCCCTGACGATACTCTTTAGGTTGCTAGCCACCTTTTGCGTGGTATCGATTAAATTTACTCCAGGCAGATGGGCTAAGGCGCGCTTTCATCCCATAAAG